CTTTAGGCATACGAACGACTTGGGTTTTTTTTTTTCTGGTTGATTCTCAGCCAGAGTTTTGGAAATTCAACCTTGGTCGACGAGTCTCCAGTGGCCGCTAGTCATGCGTGAGGTGGCTGCAGTGGGCAGCAAGAGGTGGTTGCAATGGGGCATTTGGAAGATGGTTGGGGCAGGTGGTTGCACTAGGCGGCGAGAGCGCAGACGACTGCGGTGGATGCACAATTAATGTGTGTGTGTGTGTGTGTGAGAGAGAGAGAGAGAGAGAGAGAGAGAGAGAGAGAGAGAGAGAGAGAGAGAGAGAGAGAGAGAATTATGACCCATACCTTTAGCCATTTTAGCTCTTAATACAAGATCATTCAAATCAGGTTTTTTTGCCCCTACGATGACTATTTCATTCTTTTGGAGATGAAATGATTTTTCAATTTCATCCGAAAATCGTTTCTATTTTTTCTTTTTTTAGTTGATTTTTGAGGCCAAAACCAAGATTAGGACTTTTTGACCCAAGAAAGGGACTACACCCCTTTCTTGGGTCTTATTGGGTCGAAGATTTCTTGTGTTGAAGACTAGGGGGAATCTTTTTGCTTCTTTTTTTTATTAGGGCGATAGCTCTGAAAAGACATTGTCTATCCACTAGATGAGTTGTAATTTTATGTAATGTTCGTTTTACCCTTATTAAGTGGTCAACTAAATACATTTGACCTAAATCTGTACAACATTTATCATATTGTCATCACATGTTTGACTGTTATTATTAAAATTTGACTTAATCATGACCATTGATGTGTTTAGTCCAATGATCCAGAATTATTCTTATATCTTTCGCTATATATATTTGCCATATGATCCTACTTCTATACATCTATATAAATATTTCCATTTTTTCTAAATATTTGCAATTTACCCCCAACTATAGAGTAGAGACGTGATTCATGTTCCTTCCATGGCTTCGTGAGTTACATTCAGAAATTGTCATTCACAACAATATAGAAACGGTTACACTAATCATACAATTTATGGCAATCAAAATTTTGCCAACCATTTTCCACAAAAAAAAATAAAAAAATATGACCTCCTTTTTAATTTTAAATTTGTTATTTTAAGGCGGCTCAATAAATAAGGCCACCAACGTACACAAGCAATAGAAAGTTAAATTAAATCCTGTTATTAGTAATATCAGCTTGGCGCCTTCTGCGAGACCTTAGCTCTCACTGGATATCACTGTATGGAGGCCACCACAGAAAGCTCGACTCGTCCGGTCCACTCCTCACCCGGTTTTAGAGTGATCGGCTTCTCAATTGTGGCCGCATCAACACAGAGCATGTATTTGTACTCTTCATCCCCAAAATCAGACATGGCTTTCGATTTCTTGTCCCATGGGTTCCAAACGACTGTGATCATTCGAGCCGCATGCCAAATTAGCCGAAGAAAAGAAAAATAGAATATTTGTTATATGTCCCGAGTTCAATATTTAGCCATGAAAGTCAAAATCGGGTCAAACTCGAGTTTTTTAACTGATTTCTCTAACACTAAGGGGAGGAATATTTGAAATTGCAGAAGGTAACAAAAGTTGGTAATAGTTAGACTAAAGTAGTTCTTGTCTTAATCCACTATTATATGAACAAGTAAAAAGCTTCTCCTAGCTAGGGAGTGAATCTTCAAATGTTGTAATAGATACTCTTCTTCTTTTTCAGTAGTAGTGATCTTTAATTTAGTTAAAAATTCAATAAGTGAAAAGAATTGAATGTACTATTGCTTACCCACATCAGGAAGCCCTTCTTTTCTGATCACGAAGGTTTGTTTTTTCTCGTGATCGAACACAGCAACTGCATCCGAGGAACTTAGGTAAACTCGATCCACCTATGAAACGAAAAAATAAAAATAAAATTTGATCGTTACTCATCATTCATCAACAAGTAGGATTTGTGAATGATTTGTCTTTTAAGGGAAAAGATAACTGTAAGAATAAGAAGAGTGAGAAGTAAAATTATACCTCAGATTCAAAGGTTAAGGCATCTCCTTGTTCTGTAAAACGTTCCCTGTTGCAAAGGTTGTCGAGATAGTCGAGGGTCTCCAAGCCCTCGACTCTTACTTCACTGTTCATTTTAAGAATCTCAGCTCTGCCTTTACGAGTTTCCAGATAAGGAAACAGCGTATAAATCACGATAAACGGATATTTTCAAGTATAAACTCACCTGATATCTGAAACCGAGAAATACGTGTGATACGCAAACGAGAAACTAAAGGGCTTTCCATTCACGTTACGCACGCGCGATACCAAAGTCAGATTTCCATCAAAAGTCAGTATCACCCTAAGTCGAAATTCATAACTGGAAAAAAATTTGAAAATCATTACTCGAATTATCAGGCAAACAGATATTGGTGTCTGATTCCATTAAAACATGAAAAGGGAAGCACTCATGGTACATATATTATCCCATTTTTCGTACCCATGAGGCCAAAGCTTGAGGTCATCATCGGACGATTTAGTGAGCAAATCAACATACGCACTGTAGCCAGGATCAAAGGACTGTAGAGGGGGAGGATTTTCATCAACGGCCCACATTCGATTCCTGGCAAATCCATGTTGTTCTAGCGAACCACGCTTGCCAAACTTCAATCAACATATAGTTACAATTTCCATATTATTCTGATTAATGCACAACATATACATAATATAAATAAATCAAGAATTCATTTTTAATATCCACAAGAAGAAAAAAAGAAAGTACCTGTGGGAAACAAATAGGAATTCCTCCTCTTACAGCTGCCGGCGGCTTGTAAATCGCCTGGCCACGAAACAAGACCGGACGACGTAAGGACAGAGCGAAGTGCAATATAATATTCACGAAATGGATAATTACTAAAGGTCACCCTGAAATTGAGCCTAATTACAAACTGACTCCATACCTTACTACTAGTAAACAACAACTCTTCACCCTTTTCAGTTTTCCACGATCGAACTTGCGCCCCATGAAGACTAACCTGCAAAAGAATATTCAAACTCACAAACTTACCTTAAAAAATTCCAAAAGTACATACAATTGAAACAAGATGAATCTGATTACAACTTCGTATAAGAAATATAGCTTTGCTAAAGACGTCCCGTACCCAAACAGAAGCCCCGCGCGGGCTCCGGAGCACAACCTGAGAAAGTCCATTATCATCCTTGGTGATTTCAAATGGTGCCAAGTGATTCATTTTCAAGAACACAAAACTTGAACACAAATTTCATTCAGACGCCGGACAAGTAACTGTATTTTTATACTTGCTAAAAACAGTTGAAAAAAGTTGAGCCTTTATCTTGAATCTTTCTCGTGACCAAAATCACCAATATTCTTGTGAACGCTCAACAAAACCCCAACTCCCAAGAGTCACCGCCAGAAAATTTTGATCTACAATCAAGAACCCCTCAAAAAAAAATAAATAAAAAAATAAAAAATCACTAAAAAGCAGAACAAAATTTACACCCTCAGATCATCCTGCACGAGATGGGAACTATATGGACACCATGACATAAGCACAGACATCAGCTTCAAAGAATTAAAAAGCCAACCAAATTACCTGAATTAACTGTACTTATTCCCCCTGATTGGGGTGTAAAGCAGGTCAACTTTTTTTCACTGAAGCTGAAACAAAATATATACATATATAATAATAACATATTGAAATTTGGAAAAGGAGATTTTTTTTTTTTTTTTGGCCCTAAGATATGTCATCTGCTAGTGATTATTTTCATGCAATTTGTCGGCTAAATGTAGCCTGCTAGTCAACTATTTTCATGCTACCATTTGAAAATCACAAATAATTTGAAATCAGGGTGAGCTAGGATTTAAAACCTACTCAGCTAAAATTATTAATATAACATATGGCAGTGTTCTGAGTGTATTTACACAAAATTTCTTCTTAGAATCATCTGGTCGAGTACAACTTAAAGAATTGTCCAACCGGCTGGGGTGAACCGACAATTCCGTTAAACATCAAGGACGTCAGAAGTCGTGGAATGGAATCATCAAGTCGACCGTGACCTCATAGAGAAGTTAGCCTGCCTGCAGGTCGAGCTAGGGCTCTTAGCTACAATGGTAAAACTCTACTTGGAAGCCTGTAGTTGATGGTGCAAAATAAGAGATAAGCTTTACACTGAAGGTCGAATCAACCTCTGTTCAAAAGAATCCCAGCATAGTTAGACCACGTAAACTAACGTGCACTCACCATATAAGAGATAAGAAATAATATAATTAAGATAGAAAAACACATACAAGACCATGTGGACTAATAGAATTAGGAAGTTCAGGCACTGGGACAGAACCAACAGGTAGCTTGAGCAACTAAGTCGGACGGTCTTGGACAACAACGTAACACTCCTATATAAAGGGTTGAGATATGATCATTAATTAATTTCCACTCTAAACACTCTCATATACTTACAAGCAATCTCCAGTTCTTACTATTCATTATCTTCTTCACATACTGAACTGACCGTTGGAGCTTCTACTACATGACAAATTCCAGTGTTGTTTTGCAGGACTTTGAACCAGTCACATAAAAACACAATGCCCATGGAGAATGACGACCCCCGAAGAAATTTGGAGCCCACCTTCAACGATGCTTGGGTCTCCAAACATCCGTTAGGAGCAAGCCCACCACCGGGCTTTTCTAGGTTAACACATACGTTAATTAGTGGCGAAACCAGCCGGTCATCCCGGAGAGGGCCCAATTTGCCGCAGCGCACCACCCCCACTTTAGCCATCCCGCGGCGCACCACCCCCACTCCCGCATTGGAAGGGCGCTCAAAGGGCGCCCTTCCAGTTCTAGCAAAACCCCTCACCCCTAGTTCGAGAAACGAGTGGCGAAAAGATCGGTAGGTACTCTGTAGGGGAGACGAGAAACGAGTGACGAGAAGATCGGTCAGGTCAATGCTCCTTCTAATGCCCACATTGAATTAGTCCATATTTATTTTTTTGGCCCATTTACTTCCAACAACAATACCCAAAAGCATAATTAAAAGTACGGCCCAACACCTTTATTTTCCTCTTTCCCATTATTTTTCTCTATTTTCTATTTTTCTTTTTCTCCTTCTTTGTCCTCTTTCTCGTCACTTCTTTCTCCCCATTTCTCCTATTCTCTCTTCGCAGCACCTAAAAAATCCTCCCAGACAGCAACCGATTTGCAAATCAGATCCAAAAATCAAAACTCAATCTCTCAATCAATTTCTTTCAAAATGAAATCCTCCAACTCCAATTTCAGAATTTCAGTTTCAGTTCAAAAAAAGGGGGTCGATTCGACGGGCGACGATTCCAATTGGGGTCGGCGATTCGCTGCTACTTGGACGCCGGCGATGTGCAGCGGTGGCGGTTCGTGGTTGTTGTCGCGCGTACGGATTGTGACCTGACGAAGCGTCGTTGTGCTCTACAGCGGGGCTGTTCTCAATTTTTTTTTTTGAAAGGGCCGGCGCCTCTCCGACCTTCTCTGTGGTTTGGCTCTGGCAGCTCTACAGCGGGGCTGTTCTCAAATTTTTTTTTTTGGAAGGGTTGGCGCCTCTCCAACCGTCTATGTGGTTTCGCCCCTGACGTCAATGATCCCGATAACCAATCATTCGGGTCTAGGGGAATCATCGACGATCCAGATAGTTATTGGAGGTTTGATCACCCTACCAGGGGGTAGATCGGGAACTGAGGTCGTCCTGACACCCCTTGTGCAACCGAATCCGGTAGAGTTCGAGCAAATTGGACCACCAGCCAGTGGAGATGCGCCGGTAGCCCATCACTCTCACGATGAAAAAGCTCAACAAGATGATTGTGGAGGCCGCTGCCGCAAGCAGTATGCTCAACCGCAGTTGTCTAGTGCAGTAAATCCTACTGCGATGTCAAGGGGAGAAAATAACAAGATTTCCAACACCTCGACTTTCAGAGCCCAACACGACGTAGAAATTGAGAGATGATGACTCAAATCCGGGAGTTGCCTGCCAAAGTGGAGGGGAAACGAGCTGTCGAGAGCACCCTTTTGCCCAGGAGATTTTGGACGCTAATCTACCAACTGGGTTCAGAGAGCTCAGTATCACGTATGATAAGTCCTCTAACCCGTCCCGACATCTGAGGAGCTTTGAGAACATGGTTGTTTTACATGGCTATACCGATGTTGTGGGGTACGTAGAATTGCTGGCCCCCTTTAAAGAGGAGCTCAAGAATGGTTCCGTCAGCTAGCCTTATGGTTGGTCGGGGACTGTGATGACTTCGCGACTATCTTTTTAACCAGTTTGCTAGCGTCAGGTCGCATGAGAACAGTAGGAGGTGACAAAGCTATTGCTCAAAAACTAAGCGGGGAAAACATTAGACACCTATGTTTCCCTTACAACCAGATTGGTCACATTCAAAGAAGAAAAAAAAGTTGCCTTATCAACAACAAACAAACACGAAGCAAACTTGTCCAATAATAAGAAATGTCACTAGCTATTACACTCACCAAAGAATTGAAAGAGGCTTTCATGATTAGTTTTTTGCAATAGCTTTGTCACCTACTCTACAAACCACATTCTTCCATCTCATTTGCACCCTTTTCCAATCCCCCTTGGTTGCTAACAAACAGGCTCCCACTTGACCTGTTGTCATCTCCCTAAAAGACCACCAACTTGTTACATGTAAGTTCTGAAGATTGACAGTAAATTAAAGAACCTTCATCAGTTCCCAGATTCAGACAACTCAAGAATATTTAAGGGAAATTGACTTGATTACTTGGACCTATTTTTAATTAAATCGGTTTATTGATAATATGCGGTTATTATGGCAGGTCTAAAAGGAAGGAAGAAGGGATTCATCTTCCATATATACGAGATGATAATCGTGGACTTGGACTTCAAGAGAAGACCTACCATAAATAAACATGACTTGGAGACAAAGCTTTGTGTGTGAGACTTACCATACGGAGACAAAAGATAAAAGGATGACGAGACGGGAGTGAGGAATACTTTTGATTTTTGTTTTGTTTCGAGGAAATCTGATTTTTCGTTTTGTTGATTTGAGTTTATTTTGTGGGAAGTGATCGAAAGTGAGCAGTTTTATTGCGAGAGAAAATACAGAGTGGATGGAGGTTTATTTTGTTTTATTTTGAGGAATTCAAACAAAAAAAAAAAAAACACACACAATGGATTTGTGGTCGGATAAGTAGTAGTGCAAATCATTGTTCAAGTAGAGTGTAGAGGGAGTTTATACTGTAAACCCTTGAAGAATGTATGTGATGTTTGCATTAATGAAAGAGATTCAAAGGAAGAGTGGGATGCTCTCCTGAAGGTTCAATTTTTTGTCATACTGCTTCTGCAATTGCTTGAATCTTCTTTTAATTCTGTTTAATTGAATTATATACAATTCTGAGTACTTGGGATACACGTATCAAACCTCACTACCAGATTACCATCCACCAAAGCAAGTCCCCGAGCCACTACTTACCATTATGGTGTGTGTCAACTAAAAATGGCAAACTCAATCTACCCCTGGTCTCGTGTCAGTGGAGTCTTTCCCTTTTCTGCATTGGTGTTTCTTCTGTTTATTGATCTTTATTATGGGTGAGAGGTTGAGAATGTTGGAGTGTGATCTTGTTTGTTTAGTTCTGATTAGGTAGTACATGTTGTACTAATCCTCCCATGATCTGCGGATTCGGGTTTTTCCGTGTACATTCCATTTATTTTGGTTTTATATGAGTGATTATGCCGTTTGAAAAAAAAAAAAATCTACACCTGATCGCAAATATCTACAAAGTTTGATTTCTGAATTATAAAAACTAAATAACATCCTACTTTGACTTTGGATAAGCTGACACTACCTAGATCCAACGTCTCGACATTTTCATATGAATATTGATGAATGAATTGTTTATTGACATACTCTCTCTATAACTGGTAATAATACTAATAAAATAAAATAAAATAAAATAAAAGCAATTAAAATAATAAAATTGAAAAAAAAATAGAAAGATGAATGGTACACGCTAACTTTCACATTTTTAGAGCATCTCCAATGGAACATTGTCTATTTTATGTTGAATGGCATGGAGAATGAAAATTAAAAAATTATGTCTCCAATGGTAAGTGTGAATTGTGGTATCATTTGTTATGTGTAAAATTATAATTGGGTGGAGAAAAGAGAAAATAAATAAACAATATATAATAAATAGTAGAAGCATTCTAGAATGGCTTCTACATCTAGAAG